TGAGTTCAAGTCAGTTAGTATAACTGAAAGCTTGATGGTTTATTATCGGTCTTCTAAACATTGAAGGTTAGTTCATGGGAAGGAGATAGATTGGATTTGTCCACCTTGGCATGGAAGCAGACATTGTCTCATATGCTAAAGACTGGATTGGTGGAGTTGCAAAGAAATAAATTCTTAAAGCAAATGCTTTATAGCTTGAATGTATTCTAACCTTGTCAAAATTGTTGCATCAAAAGTTATGCACTTCAAAAAATCATGTTTATCTCAAATCACATCATCCTCAAATTTTCACTACATTATCTATCCATATTATCCATATCCTAATCTTCTCTTTCTATCCATTCATATTATCCATGCCCTGGCCTTCTTTTCCTTGTTTAGATTAGGATGCTAATTGGTTATAATGCTTTATTTCAGTTAATATAATTTCTTTATGTAACTAAAATCTCTTAACAAATCTAAAAAAGAAAAAAAAAAAAAGAAAAAAAATGAAAGTTGTAGAGAAAAGCAAAAGCTTGATTCAATGGTCATGGTGCTTATCATCTTTTGCAATGATTTGAGAATTTTCCCCAGTGAACTAGAGATACTCTCAAGTCATTGAACTTTATGCAAAGCATGTCATCGAGCCTATTGATAAATGTGCAACATGAAGAACACTGGACTCTCGCCAAATATGGGTATCTAATATGTTCAAGGAAGTTTCTTAACCTCTCTTCATTTTACATTATCTCTTATGTGAAAGTTGGCTCACTTGTATCTATTTCATTGTTATAGATCATTCAAACATTACCTTCATCCGGCCCCTTGGTCACGTTTACCCTCATTCGGCCTCATTGCCACTCAGTTTGCTCCGTTATAAAACCGTTTCTTACTTGGTTCAAAAACCATTTCTCCCTTGGTTAAAAAACCATTTCTTACTTGGTTAAAAACCTTTTCTCACTTGGTTAAAACCGTTTCTTGCTTGGTTCAAAAACCTTTTTTTTTGTTTGCTCGGTTAAAAAACTATTTCTTATTTGGTTCAAAAACCATTTCTCACTCGGTTAAAAAACCGTTTCTTGCTTGGTTCAAAAACCATTTCTCACTTGGTTAAAAAACCATTTCTTGGTTAGTTATAAAACCGTTACCACACAAGCACAAACTTGCTCGGTCGTTTGATCGTAGCCATCTAACTTGCTCGGTCGTTTGACCATTGCAACCCAACTTGGTCAGTTGTTTGACCGTAGCTATTCCATGTGTTTGGTCATTTGACCATTATGGTTATATAACCATTTACAATCACCGTTTACAATCACTATTTACAATCACTATTTACAATCACCATTTACAATCACTTTTTACAATCACCTTTTGACAATCACTATTTAAAATCACTGTTTACAATTACCATTTACAATCATTGTTTTCAATCACCATTTATAATCACCATTTACCATTTACCATTTACTTTACTTGTTCAGCCATTCGATTGTTGCGGTTATAAAACCGCTTTTACTTTCTTTGTTCGGTCATTTGATCGTTGTGGTTATAAAACCACTTTTACTTTACTTATTCGGTCATTCAATCGTTGCGGTTATAAAACCGTTTTCACTTTTCTTATCGGTCATTTGACCATGGTTTCTTAACCATTTTTACTTTTCTCGTTCAGTTTATCCGATTGTTGCGGTTTCTTAATTGTTTTTACTTTTCTCATTCAGTTAATCTGATCGTTGCAGTTTTCTAACCGTTTTCTCTCATTCATTCGATTAATTCGATCGTTGTGATTTTCTAACCATCTTTTCTCATTCATTCGGTCAACCCGATTGTTCTAGTTTTTTAACCATTTTCTTTCATTCATTTAGTTAATCCGATCGTTGCGCTTCTAATCGTCTTCTCTCATTCGTGTTGTCAATCCGATCGTTACAATTTTCTAACCGTCTTCTCTCATTCGTTCAGTCAATCTGATTGTTGTGGTTTTCTAACCGTTTTATCTCATTCGTTCGATTAATCTAATTATTGCAATTTTCTAACCGTTTTCTCTCATTCGTTCGGTTACTCTAATCATTTCAGTTTTCTAGCCGTTTTATCCCATTCGTTTGGTTAATCCGATCATTGCGGTTTTCTAACAGTTTTCTCTCATTCATTTGGTCAATCCGATCGTTGTGGTTTTCTAACCGTCTTCTCTCATTCATTCGATTAATCTAATCGTTGCGATTTCCTAGCTGTTTTATCTCATTCGTTTGGTTAATTCAATCATTGCAGTTTTCTAACAGTCTTCTCTCATTCGTTCGGTCAATTCGATCGTTATGATTTTCTAACCATCTTCTTTCTTTCATTTAGTCAATCCGATCATTCGGTTTTCTAACCGTCTTCTCTCATTCGTTCGATTAATCTGATCATTCGGTTTTCTAGCCGTTTTATCTCATTCGTTCGGTCAATCTGATCTTTACAGTTTTTTAACCGTCTTCTCTCATTCGTTCAGTTAATCCGATCATTGCGGTTTTCTAATCGTTTTCTCTCACTCGTTCGGTTAATCCAATCATTGCGGTTTTTTAGCTGTTTTATCCCATTCATTCGGTCAATCTGATCGTTGCGATTTTCTAACTATTTTCTCTCATTCGTTCAATCAATCCAATCGTTGTGGTTTTCTAACTGTCTTCTCTTATTCGTTTGGTCAATCTGATTGTTACAGATTTCTAACTATCTTCTCTCACTCGTTCGGTTAATCCGATCATTGCGGTTTTCTAACCGTTTTCTCTCATTCGTTCGGTCAATCCTATCATTGGGGTTTCTATTCGTTTTATCTCATTCGTTTGGTCAACCTGATTGTTGCAGTTTTCTAACCGTTTTCTCTCATTCATTTCGTTAATCCGATCGTTGCGGTTTTCTAACCATTTTCTCTCATTCGTTCGGTCAATTCGATCGTTGCGATTTTCTAACTGTCTTCTCTCATTCGTTCAGTCAATCCGATTGTTATAATTTTCTAACCGTTTTATCTCATTCGTTTGGTTAATCCGATCGTTGCAGTTTTCTAACCGTCTTCTCTCATTCGTTCGGTCAATTCGATCGTTGCAGTTTTCTAACCGTTTTCTTCCATTCGTTTGGTCAATTCGATCATTCAGTTTTCTAACCGTTTTATCTCATTCATTCGGTCAAACCGATCGTTGCGGTTTTCTAGCCGTTTTATCTCATTCGTTCGATTAATTCAATCGTTACGGTTTTCGAACCGTCTTATCTCATTCGTTTAGTTAATCTGATTATTGCGGTTTTCTAACAGCCTTCTCTCATTCATTCAGTTAATTCTATCATTGCGGTTTTCTAACCGTTTTCTCTCACTCATTTGGTTAATCTGATCATTGCGGCGTTTTAGTCGTTTTATCTCATTCATTTGGTTAATCCGATCATTGCAATTTTCTAACCGCCTTCTTTCATTCGTTCGATCAATCCGATTGTTACGGTTTCTAACCGTTTTATCTCATTCGTTCGATCAATCTGACTGTTGTGGGTTTCTAACCATTTTCTTTTATTCGTTCAGTTAATCTGATCGTTGTGGTTTTCTAGCCGTTTTGTCCCATTAGTTTGGTCAATCCGATCGTTACGGTTTTCTAATTGTTTTATCCCATTCATTCGATCAATCCCATCATTGCGGTTTTCTAACTGTTTTCTCTCATTCATTCAGTCAATCCGATTGTTGCGGTTTTCTAACCGTTTTCTCTCATTCGTTTGGTTAATCCGATCGTCGCTGTTTTCTAACCGTTTTCTCTTATTCGTTCAGTCAATCCGATCGTTGCAGTTTTCTAGCCATTTTATCTTATTCGTTCGGTTAATCCAATCGTTGTGGTTTTCTAACTGTCTTCTTTCATTCGTTCGGTCAATCGGATCGTTTAGTTTTCTAACCATCTTCTCTCATTCGTTCAGTCAATCTGATCGTTCGGTTTTCTAGCCATTTTATCTCATTCGTTCGGTCAATTCGATCGTTACTATTTTCTAGCCGTTTTATCTCATTCGTTTGATTAATCCGATCGTTGTGGTTTTCTAACCGTCTTCTCTCATTCGTTTGGTTAATCCGATCATTGCGATTTTCTAACCATTTTCTCTCATTCGTTCGTTCAATCCAATCGTTGCGTTTTCTAGCCGTTTTCTCTCATTTGTTCGATTAATCCAATCATTGCGGTTTTCTAACCGTTTTCTCTCATTTGTTCGATCAATCCGATCATTGTGGCTCTTTAGTCATTTTATCTCATTCGTTTGATTAATCCGATCGTTGCGGTTTTGTAACCGTCTTCTCTCGTTCGTTCAGTCAATTCGATCGTTGCGGTTTTTTAACTATTTTATTTCATTGGTTCGGTCAATCCAATCGTTGCGGTTTGCTAACTATTTTCTCTCATTTGTTTTGGTCAATCCGATCGTTACAGTTTTCTAATCGTTTTATCTCATTCGTTCGGTTAATCTGATCGTTGCAGTTTTGTAACCGTCTTCTCTCATTCGTTTGGTCAATCCGATCGTTACGATTTTCTAACCATTTTGTCTCATTCGTTCAGTCAATCCGATTGTTGCGGTTTTCTAACTGTTTTCTCTCATTCGTTCAGTCAATCCGATCATTGCGGTTTTCTAACCATTTTCTCTCATTCGTTAGGTTTATCCGATCGTTGCGGTTTTTTAACCATCTTCTCTCATTCATTCTGTCAATCTGATCGTTGTGGTTTTCTAACCGTCTTCTCTTATTCATTCTGTCAATCCAATCGTTGCGGTTTTCTAGTCATTTTATCTCATTTGTTCGGTTCCTCTGATCATTGCAGTTTTCTAACCGTCTTTTCTTATGCGTTCGGTCAATTCGATCATTGTGGTTTCTAACCGTCTTCTCTCATTCATTCGGTCAATCTGATCATTCGGTTTTCTAGCTGTTTTATCTCATTCATTCGATTAATCCAATCGTTGTGGTTTTCTAACTGTCTTCTCTCATTCGTTCGGTTAATCTAATCGTTGCGGTTTTCTAACCCTCTTCTCTCATTTGTTCGGTCAATCTAATCGTTGCGTTTTCTAGTCATTTTCTCTCATTCGTTTGGTTAATCCGATCATTGCAGTTTTCTAACCGTTTTCTCTCATTCTTTCGGTCAATCCGATCATTGTGACTTTTTAGTCATTTTATCTCATTTGTTCAGTTAATCAAATCGTTGCGGTTTTTTAATCGTTTTCTCTCATTCGTTCGGTTAATCCGATCGTTGTGGTTTTCTAACCGTCTTATCTCATTCGTTCTGTTAATCCGATCGTTGTGACTTTTTAGTCGTTTTATCCCATTTGTTCAATTAATCCGATCGTTACGGTTTTCTAACTGTCTTCTCTCATTCATTCTGTTAATTCGATCATTGTAGTTTCTAACCGTTTTCTCTCATTCGTTCGGTTAATCCGATCGTTGCGACTTTTTAATCGTTTTCTCCCATTCATTCGGTTAATCCGATCGTTGCGACTATTTAGTCATTTTATTTCATTCGTTTGATTAATCCAATTGTTACAATTTTTTGACCGTCTTTTCTCATTCATTCTCTTTCTGTTAATCTGATCGTTGCGGTTTCCTAACCGTTTTTTGGCTTTTCTTGTTCGGTCATTCAACCAGTTTTACTTTATTTATTTAGTTAAAAAATAAAAAATAAAAATAAAAAAGGTTTAAGTACCATTTTGGTCCCTCAACTTTTCACTTTGGCATCAAAATTGTCCCTCAGCTTTAAAAAGTATTAAAAATATCCTTAAATTTTCATTTTTGGTACAAAATGATCCTTCCGTCAGTTAAGTGACAGGTGACAATGTTAAAATGCCACAAAATCACACTTTTAAAAAAGTAATAATTACGTGGAAAACAAATCATATGAAAAGTGATGAAATGGCAATTTTTCTTTTTCCATGTGGCATATTTTTTCTATTTAAATAAAAAACTCACATAATATAATATAATATATTATATTGTTCATCTTCTTCCTTCATTCTTCTCTCTCATCCCTCCGGCTCTTCCTCTTTCCCAGCCTTCTTCCTCCTCTTCCATCCCTTCTTCCTCTTTTTACTTCCTCCTTCGACCTTTTTCTTGTTGTTTCTCTCTCCCCTTTCTTCATCTTCCTCTTTCCCCTTCCAGATCTATGTGGGTTCTCCCTTGAGAACTCAGATCTCGGTTCTCTCCCTAAGAAAGAACCCAATTTTCAGTTCTAAGAAAACCATTCTCCATGAGAGCCATGGATCGATGATGGACATATCGATTGAGCCAAGGATTACGAAGATTTGAGCCCTTCGACATTAATTGCAGGAACCCAGATCTGGGTTGTTTCCATACAAGCTAAGTTTTTTTGCTTTCTTTTTCTTTTTTGGTGTGTGTTTGGTTGCCATGAAAGATTGGTTCTTTGGGTATTCACAGATTCTTAGGAAACAGAATTACAAACAATGAATGGCGTAGGAATTCTTTGACCTTGGTGATGAATTGGAAGGCAGCGTCGCGGTGGAGGAGAGAATCGAAGGAGGGGATCCGAGTGGAGTCTGGCTGGACAGGGCAGATGCAGTGGGAATCGGGTTTGAGAAAGTTTGGGTCTGTGCTTCCTGGGGATTTTAGTGATGAGAAAGGAGGTGGAAAAAGGAAGGTGTTTTGGGAAGTTAGGGTTAAGGTTTAACAGTGGTTTGGAGAAGATGAGGCGCGGAGCCATGGAAATCGGCTATGGAGTTCGGGTACCGTTTGAGTCATTAATTTTGGTAAGAACAAAGATTTGGGTTGGGCCAGATCAGGAAGAGAGAAGGTTCGAGATTATCAGATAGAAGGATGTTGGACAACACTAGTGACCGTGGGTGGTGCCGATGTGATGTAGGTAATTTATGTGTGAAACCCAGATTTGAGTTTGAGAAAAACCCATATTTGAGTTTGAGAAAAACCCAGATCTGGGTTTGAGAGAAGATCTGGATTTCGAATGGCCGCAAAAGGCACACCAGGATCGCGTCACTCATGCTCTCCGCTTGCTGAGTGAACCATTCATCGGTGCCGAGGAAGAAGCCAAGGAAAAAAGAAGGGGCGAATGGATGAGAGAGACGAAGGGAGGAAGAAGAAGATGAATAATCTAATATTAAATTATGTGAGTTTTTATTTAAATAAGAAAAAATTACCACATGGAAAAAGAAAAATACCATCTCATTCAGTTTATTTTCCACGTAATTATTATTTTTTTTAAAATGTGATTTTGTGGCAAGATAATGTGTCATTTGGCATTTAACTTACGGAAGGACAGTTTTGGTACCAAAAATGAAAGTTAAAAGATAATTTTGATACTTTGTAAAGTTGAGGAACAATTTTGACACTAAAGTAAAAAGTTGAGGGACTAAAATGGTACTTAAACCTTAAACTAATTAACCTAATCAATTTATCATTTTATTTACATACATATATTTTTACCTTTTTCACTTTTTTTAGTTCTTTTTTGTTGTAAAGACCTACTGGATCGGGTCGGGTTTACCTGACCCAAAAATACGAACCACCAACTAAAATGAGCAAAGACATTAAAATCTAGACAAAGAGCAAAGGAATTTAAGGTTCTCATTCGGCCATTCAATGAAACAAACAAAGAAAGCGAATAAACATCCATTCAAATTTAGATCCATGAAATTCAAGCTTGATTTCATTCACAATATCATCACCTAATACAATTCCAGCATGTCAAACCTAAAAAAGTTAAAACAGACATGGCGAAAATCTTTGAAGAAAACAGATCAGAATCGAGGGGAGGGATCCCACCCACGAGATCAAGCTCCGACCCTCTCCCTCACTGTCTTTCCCAAAAACCTCCTCTGATCAGAAAAATTACCTAAAAGAAACAAACCCAGAAGATGCACAATCTCCTTCGATGAGCTCTACTGTCCGGCAATACCAAACTCAGACAAAAGAAAAACCCCAAAATCAACCAAAATCAATCAAAGACTCTCCAAAATCAAACTCCAAATCCCCCCAAAGCAAACTCCAAAACTTCACCAACCACAGACCCCCCCTCTTCTCCTCGGAATTTCCTTCTTCTGCTCTCAAAAGCCTAAACGAGACTCCCCAAAACCAGATCCAGAAATCAACCAAAGAACCCCCCCTCCTTTGATCTGATTTTTTTTCCTATATATATACCTGTAAGGATAGGTCCGAGGTTAAGGACCTCGGACGTACTGCTATAATCCCTTAATAACCGAAGTGAAGCACTTCTTAGTCAAACAGCTGCATGACAGTTACGGTGAGCATGCCCACACCAGAATTTCTCTTAATTTCCCGGTCCCGAATTTATCTCCTTAAGGAACACGTCACACTCCGATTATCCTGCTAAGCAAGCCACGTGGATACCTCACAAAGGCCTGTAAATACCCCAAGGGGCCACCTCAGAAAGGTAATTGAAACCAACCTTAAGCTCTTTTTATCTCCACCCTAAAGGTAGCCCCGATTATTGCTGACTTAAGCATCGGAGTGTCTACCCCGAGTTCCACCTCG